GGGTTCAGTTCCCAGCATCCCATGTAGGCTAACCACCAGTCCTTAACTACAGTTCCAGAGGATCCCATGCCCTCTTCTGGCCTCTGTGGGACCAGGTATACATGTGGTGCACTTACATACATGCAGGCAAGACACATATAATAAAAATAAATCAAAACTTAAAGATTTAGGTTAGGCTGGATGGATGCCAGCCTGATCTACAAAGTGAGTTCCAGGCCTGCTGGGGTTACATTTTCCAATAACTGGATCTTGAAAAGTGTTTTATTTTTTAAATTGAAATTCTTCACCCAAAGAGCAAAGATGCACCGTTATGCAATATGTTATAATACAGAACATATCATTAAGGGGCTGGGGAGATGACTCAATGCATAAAACACTTGCTTCACAAACATGAGGGCCAGAGTTAAGACCCTCAACGCAAACATAAATACTGCCAGGCTTGGTGGAGGGCCTATAATCCCAGAACTTAAAAGGCAGAGCCAGGATCCCGCAGAGCTAGATGGCGAGCTACACTAGTCAAAAATTGTTGAGTTCTGGGTGCAAGTGAGAATCTCTGCCTCACTGTATATGGTGAAGTGATTGATGTAGACACCTAATGTCAAATTTCAGGCCTCTACAAGCCCACTCACACACTTATGTGAACACCCTCCCCAATACCCCCACTTTTAAAAGGATTAGAAAAAATGAACAGAAAAATCCAGGAATTGATTAAACTACTTCTGACCTATATCTCCAGTTTCAGGTAGAGAGATCCACATCCCAAATGAGAGAGTAAATTTAGAAATACTGAAACTCTGGTATGTTACAATCTCCAAAAGGGCCACTGGGCTCAGTAGATTGTGTCCTGGGTTACTGTATGGCAGTAAAAGGCAACATTTGCTAAAAACAAAAAAACAAACAAAATGATTATTTTTGTTTTTGTTGTTTCCTCACTGTTGCCAAAAAATTTGGAAAAGCAATTTAAATTAAGGATAACTACTCTCTTGAATCTAGAAAATAACTTACTCTATTTTAACTGGTCTTGAAAAGGTGTTTTCTGCAGTACTTTACATTCTTTTCAGAGCTGAGTGTGGTGGTGGTGTATACCTGTAATCCCAGTACTCCGGAGGAGGATCACAATTGTTGAGTACAGCCTGGGTTACACAGCAAGGTCTCAAAAGAAAAATCTGTCCATCTTTACCTCAAATTCCTGGTCAAGGTTTACTATTTACTATCATTTCTAGTCCCACAGAATGTGAATACAGGTGCATGGTTGATCTCATATACACAGACGAACTCTTACATTTTGGACTGTGAGCAACTGTCCTTAGTTCCCTTTCTTAAACTCCAAGTAGAAAAGAGCATTTTGGCTGTTTCCTTTCCATGTGCACTGGGCACATGTCAGGCACTGAAACAAGCTGACAGAAGTAGGATGTGCTGGATCTTTAAAAAACCTATACAAGAATACGTGGGGAAAAAAAAAATCACTGGTGCGTACATACACCTGTGCTTAACCTGCTCTTGGAATTTTCACTAAATTCAGTACATTTGTTTATTGCATACACATTTCACCTCGTGTTTAACACCACACATGGAGCAAGTCTTGACAATGCAGAGGCACCTGTCAAGTTGGATACTGCAATGCTCCCCACGAAGGAAGAGCAAGCCAACCATAGATTTACATATAAAGGAGCTTAGACTTACACACTCTTCTTTCCCAACAGAGGCTAGAGGGGCAAGAGTCTGATACTCTTTCCTAGAATTGAGACAGGTCACTGTAGCCCCAGCTGGTCTGAAATCACCCGTGTAGACCAGACTGGCCTGAATCTCAGAGATCCACCTGCTTCTGCCTTCCAGGTGCTGAGATTTAAAGCATATAGCACCACAGCTGGCTAATACTTAGAAAACCCACAAAACACTACAATCAGGGAAGTAAACTTCTAGTCCCCAAATTGTCACCCGTCCTTTAACTTTCTATTTAAAAGAATGGTTCTAGTTTGTTTTTAGTAAAACTGGTCAGGTGAGGATGGAACTGGACATGGGGTAGAAACTGCATTCAAGAAATCAGAAACTGAGGGCTAGAGAGATGGCTCTGCAGTTAAGAGCATTTCCTGCTCTTCCAGAGGACCCAGGTTCGGTTCCTAGCACCCACAAGGCAGCTAACAACTGCCTGCATGCAGCAGTGCACATACATGTACAGGGGTATACACACAAATTTTAAAAAACCAAAATTTTTTTTAAAAAGAAACCAGGGGCTGAAGAGTTGGCTCAGCAGTTAAGAACACTGGACTGGCTGCTCTTGAAGAGGACCCGGGTTCAATTCCCAGCACGCATGTGGCAGCTAACACCAGTCCTTAACTACAGTTCCTGGAGATCTGTCGCCCTCTTCTGGCCTCCACAGGCAATGTATACATGGGTCCACTTGCATACATAAGCAGGCAAAACACTCATACGCATAAAAAAAATTTAAAAAAAGAAACCAAAATTTTATAAGTATAAAACTTTATATGAGATACATACATAGGCCAAATCATCAATTATCTCTAACAAGGGATAGTGGGAAAGGGAATCTAAAAAGGGGGCTTTTGTCTTTTCATATTAAAGGCACAGATCAAAGGAGTTGAAATTTTTGGTAGCATGAAGTCCTGTATCACAAATTCTAAGAATCATATGCACTTGCTTTAGTTTGCCCTGTACTTTTCCCTCATCAACTCTCCTTTCCCTCCTTTACCGTTTTCCCCCTTGAATAAAACCACACTCGAGTAAAGACTCTGCTACAGTTACCTCCTACACTTTAAATACTAGTCAGTAAACTATGAGCCAAAGATAATGAACTTCAAATGAACTGTAAGCAGCTTCTGGTTTTCTGAGTCAACACGGTTAAGGGAAATACTAATTCTAAGCATTGGCTTACATTTAAATTCTTTACCAATGAGATCCACCTAATTGATGAGATTGTTTTGAGGAGGCTTTCATGGAGTCAGAAGTTATTAATAAAAAAACATACACACCCAGCTATGTGGGAGAAAATGAAATGAAAAAATAGGTTATTTACTGAAGAACTCCTAGACATATTGGTAAGAGAAAAAACAAGTTGCAAAATATATGTATAGTAAGATAATGTAAAAATTTAAATTCCACAAGAGTATTTCTACATGTAAATATATTTGACGTAAACAGCAAAAGGGTGCTGAGTAAACCCCAAGGGGGCACTAAGGAGGCACTGTGACATTAGCTCTACTTTCAATCTCTTTCTTAAAATACACTATTTACAGATAAGGGATGGATTTTTTTTTTTTTTTTTTTTTTTTTTTTTTTTTGAGACAGGGTCTCCCTGTAGCCGCAGCTGTCCTGGAACTATGTAGACCAGGCTGGCCTTGAAGTCGCACAGATCCACCTACCTCTGCCTCCCGAGTGCTGGGATCACAAGCGTGTGCCACCACGCCCAGTGGAAATTTTTTTTTTTTAAAGCCAAGGTCTCCCTTGTAGCCCCAGATGGTCTGGAACTTACCATGTAGATTATGATGGCCTCTACCTCCCAAGTGCTGAAATTAAAGGTGTGCAGCACCACACCCAACCTTAAGTATAAGGAATTCTTAGATTTCTAGTAAGTACTACATATGATAGTTTCCTGAAAATAGCTTGCTAGTAAAATCAGTTTAAACGTCTTAGGTTCCTTTTTTCAACTTTACAGTTTTATCCTTGCTCTTTATCACTCACTATTCTACCCACGTTCAAATTTAAGTAAAGCACTTAGCTTTTTAAGCAGGTAATATTGAAGAGATGACACAGCTGCCAGGAACATCAAAATCAAGAACTAGTATACTGAATAAAGGCCATTTAAATGCAACCTCATGTCCTGACTTGCAGCATTTAGGAGAGGGAGGCTTGAGACAGGATATCACACAGCCCAAGTTGGTCTTGAGCTCCTGATCCTCTTGCCTCTGCTTCCCAAATGCTGAAATTATAAAGGTTTGTGCCATCATGCCAGCCATGGCTTATAGTTTTTCCATATAATGCATTTGGAAATATATGTGAGGCTTTTTAAAGAATAGCAGCTTTGGGCTAGCAAGATGCCTCAGATAAAGTGCTTGCCTCTAAGCCTGACCACTTGACTTTGATCACAAGAACCCACAAGGTGGAAAGAGAACTAACAGTCCTCTAGGTTGTCCTCTGAGCTCCACACCCATTCCATGGCACTCAGGCACTCCATACATATACATATTCAAAATAAATGCAAAAGGGAGAGAAGAGAGGGAGAGAAAGAGAAGAGAATATCTGTCCGAGGTATGAAGCATGCTTGCAGAAACCAGCCAACACAGCTTTTCCAAGATGACACATCCCTGGCAGCATAAGCAGTGTTCAAAGTCTGTCAAATTAAAGTAGTTTTTGTGGGTTTTCTTTTTTTTTTTTTTTGCCCTTGAACTCACAGAGATCCACCTGCCTCTGCCTCCCGTGCTGGGATTAAAGGCGTGCACCACCACACCTGGCCCTAAGGCATTTTTTTTTTTAAACAAGAGAAGCACTTCTGCTTGAAACTGGAAATTCTAAAAAAATTTCTATGTTGGGGCCTGAGGATTTAGTTCAGTCATTAAAGTATCTGCCTAGCATGTACGAAGCTCCAGGTTTGAGCCCCAGCAGCATGAAACTAGGTATGGTGGCACACAGCACTCAAGTGGAGGCACGAGAATCAGGAGTTCAAGGTCGTCTTTGGTTGCACAGCAATTACAGGCCACATTTTTTTTCCCTCCCAATATTACAATAAATAAAAGAAGAAAAAAGATGTTCAAAATTGTAATTGGCTCTCTTGCAGAGAAAGGTCAAAGCCAAGACACATATGTAGCATGAACTGTGACATGTAACAGGAAACACATTACTGTTACAGATGGTTACAAAGAACAGCAACATAGTAGCCTATGATGAAACCAAGTACGTGTAGTTCAATGAAATCTCAGCTTTAATTATGAAACTCTGGGTAATGCATTTTATAACTGGGGAGAGAGTACGAAGCAGCTGTGCAGTGTCTTTCTAGGTGACTGTGGGCCTCCTATCGTCCCTACTACCTACACTCTGTCCTGGAAGGTCTCAGTATCTGAAATGCTCACAAAAAAGTCAAAAGATAAAATTTGAAAGTTAAAGTCACAAACTGAATTACTTCTAAGAGAAAATGTAAATGACATGTGCAAGGGTAAACTATATTATCTGGAAGTAATATAGAAGATCCATGATACCAACTCCTGGTAACATTTATAATAAGAAAAGTAAATTATATACTGAAAGAAATAAACAGCATCACAATCTACTTTTTAAAAATGTTCTAATTATTTGGCACACAATGCATATCTTGCCTTATTAGAGACTATTTGATAAAAGCAATGTATACGTCAAAGTGATTTTGAACACCATCAGGCTGAGAGTTTCTATCTACTTGATTTTTATCTCCTTTCACTTTTTCCCCAACTTTATCTGTTATTACTGGAAACCTAAAAATGAAGTATTACTCTCTAATACCAAAGAAAACTAACTAATAATATAAGGCCAATATTTTAAAAAAAGATCTCAATACAAACAGTGATAACGTGAGTACTCTTATGAGATAACTCAAACAAAACATTTATATTTCATAGAACAACATACTTTTTTCTTTTCAGATTACTATTTATCCCCAAATTATTGCAGAATACATTTTTTTAAAACAACAATCCTCTTCTGTAATCATAAAACAAGAAGCAGAATACTCATCTTCACAGAAACAAGTGTTCACTCTTAATGACTATCTTAAACCAATTTTAAATCATGTGACATATATATACTGGTGGAAAACATGAGTGCTACCTATCTGTTACTTTTAATAGACACCACTGTAACTTGTGCCTTCTTCCACACAGCACAATTATTAGGACAGGAACACAAATAGGGAGAAGGTATCAGGAAAACTTCGTCAGCCTCAATTTACCATCACTTGATCTCACCCCTATACCCATACTGCAGTTGACTGGTCCTTCTCACTGTCCTTTCATTGTTTTCAATTTAAAGATCTTTTGGGCTTCAGAACGACAGCAAGTATAACCATAATACATACTGCTGCTGTTGAAGTACCCTGAATAATAATAGGTTTAAAAAGAGTGAAACATGAGGTGCAGAAAACACACAGAAATCAAAGGGGAGTAAGAATAGAATGAGGAGGATAGTTTCTGCCCCACCAATGATATTCTGGCAACTCCAGAGCAGAGGCCTCTTTCTGGAATTTATACAACTGAAGGAGAAAAAAGCTGACTTACAGCTTTCCAATTATCTTACTTTCTGAAATAAAGTTTGATTTCATCTCAAGTTTAAAGGCAGTATTTTACTCCAATGAGAAGAGCATATTTCCTATTCACAACAGTGGACATGGCAGCAATCTTTACCCCTGAAAGAGCCAGAGGGCAAAATCAAATTTTCCTGTCAAGACTCATGATTTCTGCTGCCCCTCTATCCTGCATAAACACCAACTTCTCAGGAAACCCAGAAACTACAGAGAGCACGAACATCCCATGAAAACACAGTTTTAGCTTGTCCCTTGACTCTTTCCACGCTGTCCATCCTCAAACACACGTAACAAGCAGGTCACTGTTTTGAATTTGGCAAGGTCAGTAATTATACTCTAAAGTGAGGACTGAGGACTGAGTCATACTAAATTAAATTTCTAACATTAAAACATTTAGCTGTCAAGTTACTCAACTTTTATCTTATATGGAAAGATTTGAGCTATTAACTTAAAAATATGGTAGCATCTTTTTAGCATCTATCACTTCCGGTGCCTTCACAAAATGCTCATGCTAACAGCTTATATTGCATTCTACTACTTACAAGTAAATCCAGGAACCATTCCATTTTATCTTAGACATAACATTTACTAGTTTTCCAAGCATGACAGAAATGAAAAAATATATATATTAGAACAAGAACAATTTATATTAACTTCCACAATCTGTGTTCTCTCTATGAGCAGTGCCTGATTACTAAATTTAACAAATTTCAGTCTAATGCTAAAGAAAAAAAAAAGAAAAAAACAAACAACCTAATGAGGGACTAATCACAAAGTATACAAGAATATAATTTTATAGTAAATCTTTCCAGTGTTTGCTATAACTGTATTACGAAATGCTTCCCTCCATAGAAACTCAGAAGGATATTTCTTATGAGACCGAACTTTCTATATTCACTTCTGACAAGCAATGACCAGTATACCCTGCTCACAAGGGATCTAGAAGTGCTGCCTCAGGAGCACTAGCTACCACTAACTCGCTGTGTGAGTATTGGCAGGTAGCTAACCTGGGACCTCTGCTTCTCAGGCCAGTGAACCCAGTACATGAAAAGCCTAAAAGAAAACTAAAGTTATTGCAGAAGTAAAGCTCAGCAAGCTCCATTCAAATTCTTCTAAGGTAACCATTCTAAACAAACTTAGAAGTCATCTTTTTTTAATAATAATAATAAAAAAAGGCAAATGCTGCTTTTCGATCAGACTCAGAGGAAAAAAAAGTGACAACAGTAATAATTCAAGTAAAGTAGGTGTGAAAATTTAAACATGTCACTTCACATTAAGACAAGTGAAGAAGGAGGGCGATGATCGTTATAACACAGTCAAAAAGCTTAGGCATTGTCACCAAATGTTAATTCACTTTACAGTCATCAAGAAGACAATCGTATATATTTTTGCACCTTGCGCTTGTAAAAGCAGATAAAATATTTAATATGTAATTTACAATGTATTTTACCAGCTAGCATACAGGATGTATATAGATTATATCAAAGTAGTAGACAGTTAGGGGCCTGTGCAAACCCTGCAAAAATAGAACTTCAGGTATCTGCTAATCAAAAACAAAAACAAAAACAGTATGCTGTTTAGAAGTGATACAATAAAAACTACCACAAAATACAAAGAGCTGCAAAAATGTATACCATTCCAACAACATATATAAGTTATTAAATAAAGATCTGATTTAAAAGAATATAAACGAAGCCTTTAAGTAGGTCTTTTCTACATGCATATTATTCCTCACTAAAGAAAAAAATATGTAAAAAGGCCATTGGTAATTGCTTTGTTAACATTTGTAGAAAATGCCAATTCTCTGGTCACAACTCCACTAAATTTAGCACTTAAGGTCTCTGCAGTGTTATAAACGTAATTTAAAATACTGTTAATCCTATAACTCCATTGGTAAAATAATGTGACTTGGAGTATGGCAGTCTTCATGTTGAGGGCAATGATCCACAGTTTTGTTCTTTGACTCTTTCAGGTATGAGCAGCTATCCAGAAGAACAGCACCCTCCACCACCACTCTGGGCTTGAGGTTCGTCGTCAATGATCTGTACCCCGCGCCTGGCAGCTCCGGCCTGACTGGAGCCATTGCCTTTCGCCCTCTCATCCACTTGTGCTGTTTCTATCATTCCTGAGAGAGGGAAAAAGTAAAAATTATTAGAACCACAATCTTCTGAGTTTTCTTTTCTGTAATTTTAGTATTCCACCATGATAGCTAAAAGTAATGTGCCAACTCATGAAAATAGCTTTGCCCACAAGTTTAAAAGACTAGTAGAATGCAGAAATGGTCACAGCAACAGCAGTACAGTAAGAAGAGTTGTTATTTGCTTTTAGTAAATACACCATGTACGGAAAGTATAATCCTTCATACTTTGCCAAACATTCCGAAATATGTTACAGTTCAAGTTATCCAAGTACAAGATACTAAGTTCAGGGTATGAGGCTACTATTGGCAACTGTGAGCTGCTGGGAGAGAAAAAGTCAAGTTTTCTTTAAGGGGGTAAAGCTGGGAAGGCTGACCAGGCTCCTGGGGATACACACCTAAGAACATTTGGGGACCCAATTAGATTTGATAGGCCTTAAAAAGAAATAATAAGGGCTGAAGAGATGGCTCAGAGGTTAAGAGCACTCACTGAGTACACACATGCACACATGCTCATATATATATAATTAAAAATAATAATAATAAAAAAAGAAAGCACCCAGTTTCAGAGAGAGACCCTGCCTCTTAGGAAAAAGGTAGAAAAGGGCAGAGGAGGATATTCACTCTGCTCCTCTGGCCTCCATGGACACGCACACATTCATAGGAAACACACACAAATGAATCTTAAAAAGGGAGGGAGGGATTTAAGATGAAGGAGAAGGGTGTGTGTGTGTATGTGTGTGTCATGCCAGAGGGCAACTGTGTGTGTGTGTGTGTGTGTGTGTGTGTGTGTGTGTGTGTGTGTGTCACATCAGAGGTCAACTTCAGGTCAACCTCAGGAACCATCTGCCTTATTTCTTACGACAGGGTTTCTCACTGGGACCTGGGACTTGCTAATTCAGCTAGGCCTGAGAGCCAGTGGAGACCCAGGAATACACTTTCACAACTCTGGGATTACAGATTTACGCAATCATGCCTGTGGGTTCTGGGGATTGAACACAGGTCCTCACGCCTACATGGCAAATACTTTACCAACTGAATTATCTCCTTGGCCCCTTAAATCTGTTTTATTCCATAAATTTGCCACCCCACCCCCCTTTTTGTGGCCTTTTGGAGACAGGATCTCCCTGTAGCACCCCAGCTACCTGGAGCTCGCTACATAGATCAGGCTGGCTTCAGTCTTACAGAGATTGCCTAGTTTGCCCACTGAGTGCTAGGATTAACAGTATGCACCACTGCACAGGGAAAAATGTATAGCCCAAGCTAGCTTCAAACTCATGATCCTCCTGCCTCTGCCTCTTCAGGATATCGTACCTAGGACTGTGTGCCACCATAACCAGCCATCCTTTTAATAAAATTACACCTTCCTTTTAAACACATATAAACACACACCAAACAAGTGATTTCAGAACCATTATTTACTGTTTAACATAGGTGAAAGTACCTAAGATTTTTAAAAACAAATTGAAACAATACCAAATCAGTAATAGTACAGATATAGCTACGAAATTATCTACGTTGTCATTATGAGAAATCGGCAAAATTTCACTTTAGAAACATGAGTATTTTTTAAAAAGCCAGTTGAAAAAATATTAAATCTGAATATACATACTTTTACAAAGGTCCAGAAAGAGCTCCTCGATTCCTTTGTTTTGTTTAGCTGAAGTGTGATAATGTTTTGCTCCCACAGATTCTGCATACCTTAAGAAAAAAAGATTGACCTAAAACACTTGAAACTTCACAACAGCAATTTTAGTGACTAAATTTACCTTTAATGACTTACTTACCCAATTTTAGTTATATTAAAAATATTTAGTTGTTTAGTCTCTCTACACATGGACCAAATTTAAAAAGCAAAACAAAACAACAAAAAAACCCCACAGAAATATAATAGGACCTAGAATTTTCATGAGGAAATTGTAACTGATTTTAAAGGCCTTTGTGATCCACTGCTGTCTGATCTTAATAGCAGTGATCCTGATCTTCTTTCACATCATTCTTGTATTTTTAAGTGGAATCAAAAAATGAAAATGAAATATCCTGAAATATTGCCAGGAGGCTAGCAATTAGCAGTACAAACATGCTTCCCTGAAGACAAGAGTTCAGTCCACCTTAAGGAGTTTGAGAAATGCCTTGCTATGGCATACTGTGAGAGGAAGGCTTCACTGGGGAGCAACAGAGATGGGGAAGCATGACACTTACGATTCTGCTTCTTGAACTGAAACATGCCTTTCCTTTTCCAAGTCTATTTTATTACCTAATTTGAAAAAAAAAAAAAATTAATCTTAATGTTGACTTACTTTTATAATAGGCAATTCTAAATATAATTGTGATTTTAATCATCTGAAAAAAATGTCTCAAAACTAATCAATAATTAAGTATGACTGTTAGTTTACTAAAATACATCAGGCTAGCATCTTGGATTCTAAGAGTACTGTTTTCCTACCCTACATGACATACACAAGAGTAAAAATTTTAATGTCTGAATTTTTAAGTATTCCACCATCAGAGGGAGAATAACTATACTATTTAAGAAACATTTTTAGTGACTTATTAGAACTTAATAGATGAATATCATGTAGATTTAAATTACTGAAACTAAGTTTAGTTCTCATTAAACAATGAGGCTAAGCAAAGATTATGTTAAAAACTTACCACAACCAAATGACAGAAAATGACATAAATTTTAGACGCAATGAAATAAGGACCCAATGAGAGATGAAATGCTTAGCATCAAGAAGTCTATAGAGGTGCTACATAATGAAGACCCCAAATAATCCGAGTACCTAATAGCCAGCAGCTCTCAGAAACTACTTGCCCATACAGCTCAAAATGAGAGGGTGAAGAAGACAAGGTCTAAAGCTGGAAGGGCCCCAACAGGTCAGCAATGAACTATATTCTTGGAACAGTATCTACCTCAGCAAAAACACTACGCTAATTTTCACTTCCTACATTATATTTTGCCAATAAAAATCTTAATCTGCTAAACTGCATAGTTGACAGTAACCGGAGGGAAAGCAGTTGTTTTATTCTATAAATACAAGAAAACAAACACCATCTGGTGGCAGGTGTCTCCTACAGGCAGGAATAGGATTCTGCCTCTAACAAGGTTAAATGAGCTAGAGCCCTAGAAAGCAAGCAGACTTTTGCTCCAATTAACTAAAACCTATGATCCACTCTCCTAGATTTTTTTGGGGGGGAGGGATCTTTTTGAGACAGGGTCTTCCCATAGCCCCAGGTGGCTTGGAACTATGTAGACCAGGCTGGCCTCAAACTCACAGAGATCCACCAGCCTCTGCTTCCAGAGTACTGGGATTAAAGCCACAGGCCATTAACGACTGGCTCACTCCCCTAGATTTTTTAATACCTCAATCTTCAGGAATAGGAAAAGCAGGTAAGTATTTCACTTGCTTCACCATTTAGTAATACTCTAATCATCACTACCTGTAGTAAATCATTACTATATATTAAAGCTAAGTAATTTAATAAACTAATTATTAGCTTAAAGTTTAACTCTGTCTACAAAAGAACCACTACTTAGTACAGATACCACTGAAAATCTTAGTGGTTCACATCTTTCCAAAACTCAAAATCCTTCTGTTTCTGTATTCTTTCAAAAACAAAAAAGCCGCCAGGCATGGTGGTGCACGCCTTTAGTCCCAGCACTCAGGAGGCAGAGGCAGGCGGATCTCTGTGAGTTGGAGGCCAGCCTGATCTGCATAGCAAGTTCCAGGCCAGCTGGGGCTGCAAGGAGACCTTGTCTCAGTCTCAAAAAGACCTAAAACCAAAAAAAAAGAAAGAAAAATCAAATCAAAAACAAAAAAGCCAAGTCACTATGATGCCTATCTGCTTCAATACTACTGTCAGCACAGGGAACTTTCTGATAGGCAGAAAACACATGAAATACAGACAACTACAAAGGGAGCATCTAAAGGTTTAAAAAAAGCAAATAGACTAAAAATGGGTTGAAGCTACTCTACTCAAAAGAATAGTTAAGTGCTGGAGAGATGTCTCAGTGGGAAGAATGCATGCCGAGCAAGCACTGAGGACCTGAGTTCAGATCCCCAGCAGCCACATAAAAACCTGGGCATGTCCATAATCCCAGCACTGGGAGAGACTGTCTAAAAAAGTAAGATGTAGGATGACAGAGGAAGACACCTGATGCTGGCATCTGGCCTCTACATGCACATGCATGGGTACATGAACTTGCATACACATGCATGCATACGTCACACATGACCCACACAGAATTACAGAAAAATATAAATAAACCTAATATTTACAAATACATATTTGAGTTAAAAATGTGGAGGAAGGTCTGGAGAGATGGCTCAGTGGTTAACATCACTGGCTGCTCTTGCAGAGGACCTAGGCTTAGTTCCCAGCACCCACATGGCAGCTAACAATAGTCCTTAACTCCAGTTCCAGGAGATCCAATGCCCTCTTCTGGTCTCTGCTGTCACTGCACACTCGTGATGTGCTTCCATACATGCAGGCAAAACACTCATATACGTAAAATAAAAAAGAATAAATCAAAAACAAATTTAAAAAAAAGAATATGGAGGACATAGGCACAGGAAAACTTTCTGAACAGGACAGCAAGGCATTAAGAGCAACAACTGACAAAGGAGGCCACATGAAACTAAAAGGCTTCTGTGCACCAAGACATGATCATTCAAGTGAAGAGGTAGCTTACAAAATAGGAAAACATCTTTACCTGTTATACATCTGACAGAGGGTTATTATCCAGACTATATAAAGAACTTGAAACACTAAACTTCAAGAAAACCAACCGAATTTTAAAAAAGGAGCATAGAACTAAACAGAGTTCACAAAAGATGAAATACAAATAACTGAGAAACACTCTTAAAATATTCAGGGACTGGAGAGATGACTCAGCAGTTAAGAGCGCTGGCTGTTCTTGCAGAAGACCTGGGTTCAAATCTCAGCACCCACATGACAGTTAACAACTGTCCATAACTCCAGTTCCAGGGGATCCAACACCCTCCTCTGACATACACAGGCACTGCTTGACATGGGTGCACTTACAGAAATGCAGGCAATACAATCATAAACATAAAATTAAAAAATAAACATTTTAAAATGTTCAACATCCATAGTCATCAGAGAAATGAAAATGAAAACTACTTTGAATCTCATCTTACCCCAGCTTGGACAGCTATGACCAAAAAACCAAATGACAACAAATGCAGATACAGAGAAAGGAAAGCACCTGCTACAGCCACTATCACAATCAGTGTGGCGATTCCTAAAAAAACTAGAAATAGGTTGACCACAAGATCAAGCTAGACCATTCTCAGGCATATACCCAAAGGACTGTGTATCCTACTATAGAGATACTTGTTCACCCATGTTCATTGCTGTTTTATTCATAATAGGGAGGAAATGTAAACAGCATTTGATCTGACATCAATTGATAAATGGAAAAGAAAAATGTGGTACATTTACACAGTGGATTATTATTATTCAGCAATTAAAAATGAAATTATGAAATTCACAGGTAAATGGATGGACCTGGAAATAATCTTGAGTGAGGTAACCCAGACCAAACAAACATCACGTTTTCTCTCATATATGGATATTAATTAGCTTTGGCTTTAGCTTTGAATCTTTAGATAGGTGAATTTCACTTAGAATACCCCTAGGGGTTAGGAAACTAGTAAGGTACCATGGGAAAGAAAAGATGGCACTACCTAGGGAAGGGAGATGCAATACAGTGATATAAACAGTGGAAGGGGATAGAACAGGAACGATTAAGCAGGGTGAGGAATGGAGAGTAGGGAAGAGGAGGAAATATGGGAAGGGATAACTAACACTAAAGGCCTATAAAAAGGGGGGGGGTGGCTGGAGAGATGGCTCAATGGTTAAGAGTACTGGCTGCTCTTACAGAACTCAGGTTAGGGTCCCAGCACCCACATGATGTTCAGAATCATCTTTAACTCTAGGAATCCAATGTCCTCTTCTGGTCTCTCTGGATACTACACACACAGTATACTTACATACATGTATTGTAAAACATTCATACACATCAAATTTTTTAAAAATCTTTCAGAAAAAATACACACATATATTAAAAATTTAAGTGGAGTTATCCTATACTATGGGGAAGAGGGCAATACTTCAACTAGACACCTCATCCCAGCAAACAAAACCCCCAATACCACAAATGGTTACTTTTCTTGGAGTTGTTGGCAAATGGGATCCCAAAGACTCCCAAATGTTACAGGCTATTGCTACTGCTCTTGGTTACCCTCCAGAACTTGATAGTAAGACCTTATTGCTGAAGACAACAGACATTTGTGTCACAAAAAAACAGAAATCAAGCTGGTACTGACCTAGAAGCTTCATCCCTACTGGCTAGCTTTCTTCATCCCTACTGGCTGGAAGGTGCTATGGACATCAGCAGAAGAAAAAAGTAATCATCAGTCTTACTCAAACTGTGAACTCTGAGAACTATAATAATGACTGGCCTGCCAAGATATGCCCACTAGTGCATGAAAGAAAAAAATGACTATCATCATGGGAAAACTAAACTCCAAACTAAGTAATACATTTTACAACCCTGGTAGCTTCAACCAGCTAATTAGTTTACCCAATGCTGACTCTAGAAAATTGTTTCCAACTAGGTTAGGTTTGCTTCTGTGTTCTCACAGCACGCCACTCTGCCCTTCCTCTTCCGTAGCATTGAAAATAGTATGAACCACCAACCTGTGTTTGTTCCTCTCTCTCCCTTTACAAGCTCTGAAAGGACAAGTAGTGTGCCCACTTTGTTTACTTATTGCCAAAATCTGGTATGGAGCAAGAATACCAGGACAAACACTGGCAAAGGGCATGAACTGTAAATGGAAAGAGGACCTGAGAGAAAAGCCTCAAGTGTATCCACTTCTGCCTAGCTATGTGTACCTGGACGTATCACACTCTCTAGGCCCATTTACTCATCTACAAATAGTTCAAGAGTTTGACAAGTTGAAACTCCCATATATGTAAATAACTTTATTAGAACAAGCTGGGAAAAACTTGACTGAATAATACTTATAAAAAGGACTTCAGGGGGCTGAAGAGATGGCTCAGAGGTTAAGAGCACTGGTTGCTCATGCAGAAGACCTGAGTTCAGTTCCCAGCACCGAAATGGTGGCTAACAACCATCCATTAACTCCAGTTCCAGGGAATCTAATGCCCTCTTCTGAGACCTCTGCTGGCACTGCATGACACGGGTGCACTTGCATACATGTAGGC